ATAAATCATTCCAACAACCAGCTTAAACTGAAGAATGAATACAGGCTTACTATCATCTTAGCCCATAATAAACGGTGGGAATATAACTATTTCTCAAAGCTCTACATGGAATTTTCTTGCTTTCTTTCAATTAAGGATTTTATTTAGCATTTCATTTTTATTAAAGCTCATAAAGAGTAAAGTGAAAATCTCAGTACGCCATGCATTCAAACTGCCCAGCTGTAAACCTGATTTTAATATTCATTATGAAAACACAGTGACTCACATAGTAGCCAGTTTTGGGTTAATATGATAGTAAATGTGAGACTTAGTATTTTTCTCTCTCCAAATAATATAAAAATTGTAAAGTTAGGTTAATTCATGTAGCAAAAATTCCAAAACCATTAACTGGTACAAATACCACTTAATGTCTGGAAGAGTTCCTTCCCAGGATCTGGAGAGATGCTCAGCGGTTAAGAGCACTGGCTGCTCTTGCAGAGGACTGGGGTTTCGTTCCCAGCACTCACATGGCAGCTAACAACCATCTGTAACTCCAGTTCCAGGGGATCCTTTTTGACACTCTCTTCTGACCTCCATGGGCCTTGCACAACACAGGTGCACCTGCATAGATGCAGGCAATATATTCATACACATTAAAAAAATAAAAAATAGGGGCTGTAGCAATGGCTCAGCACTTAAAGAGCACTGGCTGCTCTTCCAGAGGACCTGGGTTCAGTTCCCATCACCCTCATGGCAGCTAACAATCATCTATAACTCCAGTTTCAGGGGATCCAGCGCCTCCTTCTGACCTCCAGGGGCCTTGTACAACTTGGGTGCATTTGCACATATGCAGGCAATACACTCATATACATAAAATAAAAATAATTTTTTAAAAAGGAATGCTTCTTCTAATCATGTGGTTATTAAATAATTTTAAAAAATAAAATTAAAATAATAAAAAGAAAAAAGAAAGAAAAAACAAAACAAAAAAGGGAAAAGAAAATGCCATAACAAAGTCCATTACTTTGTATGCTAATTTAAAATCTAATAAAGACTGGCATGGTGGCCCACGCCTTTAATCCCAGCACTCGGGAGGCAGAGGCAGGTGGATCTCTGTGTGTTCAAGGCCAGTCTGGTTTACATAGTGAGTTCCAGGACAGCTGGGGCTACAGGGAGACCCTGTCTCAAAAAGACCAAAAAAAAAAAGACCTAACAAAAACTTCTTTCTCTCAAACATAATTGAGGTTTATATTGGTCACCAATGATCAAAATTATATAAATGTTGTAAATATTGATAATTATGAAGCATAATAGCAACATTTTATTACAAATTACAATATTTCCTTACACTTAATAAAAGAAAATGATATGTTGCCCAAACTACCTGTCCTGACAGCTGGAATATTCTTTTACCTTTCTGTTACATGAGGCAGAAAAATTTAACTAGTTTTCAAAATGAATAAGATTATAACTAATTGAAGTTGAAAAAAATCATATGTTGTGTAAAGTAGATTTTTACCCACATCATCAAAGAACAAGCACTTGGCCATGGCTGTTCCTAAATGTGTCAGTCAGCTTCTACCAGGTTATGCCACATAACAAATGAGCTAAGAGTCTCTCAGTACCTCACCAGGCTTTATTTCCTTGCTTGTGTTTCACACAGATGTGCCTTCACACTCCAGGAACCAGGCTGGAAGAGTTCCTTCCCAGGGCGGCTGTCCTTAGCCAAGGCTTGGGGACACCAGGGCCGGGGCGAGTTTGTTGGGTGTCATACAAGCCACGCTTGCTCACAGCTCGATGGTCAAAGCAGGTTCCAAGATCATGCCCTGATCAACAGGGCCCCATTCAAGCAATCCTGCCTTCTGCCTCAGACACACCCAGGCCAGTCTGGCCGTCCCAGAACTCTCTGCTACGCTGAAGGGAATCTGCATGCTGTCTATGCTCCATCTATGTTCAAAGATGGTCTGCTTTCCAGCCACCTAATGGTTGCTGTTTAACCATTTGAGAAAAATGCTGTTTTTAGTATCCAGGGCTCTTTCTGGTTTGTCTGATTTCCTTCTCACAGCGATGTGAAGTCTGAATCTGACTGTGGGATGAAGAAACAAGAGGGGGACGCGTGGTCACCGGACTCTGTCACTCCACCGAAGACTTTTAAAAGGATAGTATTTTACTAATCCTTTTAGAATTTTATGTATACGTACAATGTGTTTTGATCATATTCATCCCCCCTAACTCCTCCCGATTACACCCCTCCATGCCCGTCCCAACTTTGTGTCTTTGTGTCCCCTTTTTTACTTTTTATGACTTACCGATTTGTGCTGCCCATATACTCCAGGGTGTGGGGGCATCCACTGGACTGTGGTCAACCTATCCGGGGCCACACCCTTAAAGAACACCAACTGTCCCTCAGCAGCCATCCATTAGGGGTGGAGTCTCGTGGGTCCCTCCCCTCACTGGAATGTTGACTGACTTGATCTTATGCAGGTGATGAGCTTGTAGGAAACCACAGCTGCTGTGAGTTCTGAGTGCAGTGCGGTGGGCCTGTCATGCCCAGAAGACTCCGTTTCGCCCATCTTCCCAAGCCTATGGCTCTTGGATTCTTTCTATCCCCTCTTTTGTGATGGACCCTGAGTCTTGGGGAGGGGGTGCGACACAAATGTCCCGTTTGTGGCTGAGCATGTCACAGGCACTTTGACCATTTTTGAGTTTCTGCACAAGGAAACTTCTCTGAGAACTACTAGACGGGCAGACACTATTTAGAAGGCAGTTTGATATTATGTCCATTTAGCAAAATCACAGTAGCAGGGTCACCTGGAGCCCGAGGACTCCTCAACCATAAGCTCGTGACTGATGTACAGCACCAGGCAGTCAGTTCCTCCCATGAAGTGGTCCTAAAATCCAACACAAAGCAATTGCTTATCCCCATATTTGTGCCACTACTGCACCCATGAGTACGCCTAGCCACGCCTGTCAGTCATTACAGCTCACAGGACTCATAGCTGAACAAGACAGTTCTCTCTACCAGCGGCCTGCACAACACCTTCTGGTACTGTGAAAGCTACGCAGCGCAGAGGCAGATCCCTGGACAGTACAGACTTGATTTCTCCGTGTCCTGTGACCCAAGTGTACGGCATCTTTCTGCGGGCAGCCGAGAGCAGCACCTAACACCCCCAACCAACAAGAGACTTTTTACATTTATGTGTGTGTGTGTGTGTGTGTGTGTCTGGACACCATGGTTCATGTGTGGAGGTCAGAAGACAACTTGCAGAAGTCCATTCTCTCCCTCCACCATATGGGTTCAGGGAATTGAACTCAGGTCATCAGGCTTGGAAGCAAGCCATCTTGCTGGCCTAGAGGAGGCATTTTAACAGGATGTGATACCAGGCTGGGAATCAGAAGATCCAATACCTTCTATCAGAAGATGCCAAATCCCCTGAAACTGACCATAAGCCTATGCAATTCCAATAAAATTTCCAGGGCCTCAATATATTTAATAAACTTGATTTGATATAAAAGTTTTGCTTTCCCAGGGGACAAGCTAGATAGCTCGGTGGGTAAAATGTTTGCCTCAAAAACCTAGCAGGCTGAGTTCGATCCCCAGAGCCAACATAAAGGTGAAAGGAGAGAACTGACCCCACATATGCCCCCACATGTGTGCCCCCACACATGTGCCCCCACACATGTGCCCCCACACATGTGCCCCCACATGTGGAATTCACACTCAGAATAATAATTTTTTTATTTTGCTTTTCCAAAGGTATTGTGTTCAAAGATGGCCACCCTGAGATCCATCAGACTTCAGTCCGAGTCTAAGGGTCTCGGTGAGGCTGCCTGCTCACACCGGCACCTGGGGGACCAGACAGGTACAGAACCCCAGATGTTCCAGGGGACTCTCCTCTGATCCCATGGATGGGTGGACAGGGGGTCATGGCGAGGGCAGACAGGGGAGAGGAGGTTCTGCACCACTAGCCCTGCAGGCTGGATGGAGGAATAATTGGTAACACCCCCAGAAACACAGCACAGCACAGTAGATCCAGAAAGGAGACCTCCAGCACCCAGCCTTGGGGTTTGGGTCACTGAAGACCATTACCCCCACAGGACCCTCAAGGGCTCCACTAACACCTGCAGACCAGAGGCCTGGCCAGCCAGAAAGGAAAGCCACATTCAGGAAGAAGGAAGCCCTGGGGCTCCAGGCTGAATGGTGGCAACCCTGGTAATTCCAAGGCCGTGTGCTTTCTGAGTGGTTGGAGAACTTATTACAGAAGACGTTTATCCAGTTCCTGAGGAAAGACAAAGGTAGACGACACCCTAGACATCCCAGAGCCAGCCCTCTGCTGCCAGCCACTCATTCTCTTTTAAAGAAGGTACCTTCTAAAAAGGGTGCTCCTTGAACACCGTGGTCAGCGGGAAACAAAATAAAGTGCTAGAGGAAATAAAGCAGAGTGGGCCAGGCTGGGGCGGGGCGGGGCTGCAGCAGGGTGCTAGTCCTTCAGGAACCTACCCCAGAGTGTGCCCCTCACAAGGGCCCTGTGCCATCCTGGTGTCCTGCTGTTGCTGCGGGGCCTCTGTGCATCTCTGGATCCCTGATGGTCTCAGCAGGGCTCGGCCTGGCTCAGGCCTAAGGGCTGCACTCTGCAGCCTGCTGTCCGCTGCCAGAGCCTGGTTCTAAGGCTCCAGGCCAACACTGGGCCCTCTTGTTTCCATCAGCATAACCTGGCTGCTAGGAGGGCCCTGTGCTGGGTGGGCAATCTCTACCGCTGGTGTACTTCACATCATACACTCTGGGGGACAGGACAGGCTTAATTCTTTCTCCTATGAACTGTTGCTCAGGCTTTAAAGACTTCCAGGAGCTTCCCAGCACAGCACTTGGCTCTCTGTAGGAAAGCTTGACACAAATCTTATCACATTCCCCGTGGACAGCCCTCTCTACCCGTTTTGCCCTTCCAGCCTTTCTTGATTGCTTTTGCACTTTACAAACCAATTTACACGCCTGTCAAATTATTCAGGTCTACAGAGCTTCTCTTACCTCATAAAGATCCCATCTCACCATGGGACTCAGCAGAGCCTCTAAACCTCTGTACTGTTCCTTTGGTAGTTTGAATGATTAACGTCCCCCATAGGCTCAGGTATTTGAATACCTGCTCCCCAGTCTGAGCGGCTGTTTGGAGAAGTTTAGGAGGTGCAGCCTTCTGGAAAGTTTGTCACTGGGGAGTGGGCAGGCTTTGAGAGTTCGTAGCCTCCCCCCAACTTCCTGGGTGTGATTGAGAGGCGATCTCCCAGCTTCCTACTCTGGCAGCCTGCTGCCACGCCTCCCCACTATTAGGGATTCTCTCTCTCGCTGGGCCTGTAAGCCAAAATAAATTTTTTCTTTCTTAAGTGGCCTTTGATCATGGTATTTTATCACGGTGACAGAAAAGCAGCTAATGTAGGAGTTGGTGCCAGAGAGTGGGCTGTTGTGAAGAGCCTGAGCATGCTGGTTTGGAGGAATGTGGAAGGCTTTGGAACTCTGCATTAGAAAAGCAGCAGCAGGGTGAACCTTTCCAGTAGGAGCCTGGAGGACAATACTGCTGTGAGTGGTGAGCGTGGGACCCAGCTCATGAGGTTTCACAGGAAAGCAAAGTCTGTGCTAGCACCTGGGCTGGAGGCCATTCCTATGGCATTTTGGCAAAGAATCTGCATGCCTTCTGCCCCTGTCCTAAGAACTTACCTGAGGCTAAATGAAATGTAATGGACTAATTTCTTTGGCAAAGGAAATTTCAAGACAGCCTAATATTGAATCTGTGTCTTGGTTATTACTGATATCAGTTCTACAATGACAAGGAGCAAGTGGGACAGAAAGTGATGCAAAATGTGTAGTTTGGGGCTGGAGAGATGGCTTAGTGGTTAATAGCACTCGCTGCTCTTGCAGAGGACCTGGGTTCGAATCCCAGCACCCACCTGGCAGCTAACAACCATCAGTAACTCCAGTTCCAGGGGATCCAATGCCCTCTTTTGACATTTGAATGCATTGCATGGCACAGGTATACTAATACACATGTAGGCAATACACTCATACACATAAAATAAAAATAATAAATAAAATATCATAATTAAAAAAACGTATCATTTAGAGAGAAAGAGCACAGGGAAGTTAAATCCAAGGCATATGCTAGAAGAGACACTGTAATTGTTGAGGATATCAGTGCCATAAGGAGAGGACTTCTGTTCTTCACTGGAACCATGGGAAGGGTGTCCTTAGAGGAAGACCCCACCCAGCTAAGCTTCCAACTTGTGAAAGGAAAAAGCTAAGAAGTTTTCTGCTCCTAGAAAATCACACTATACAAAAGCTGCTACAGAAGTGATTCAAGGGGGCAAGGGTCCAGCCCAAGTGCAGCTAAACTTGGCAGTATTGTGCACATGGTGCTGGCTTTAGAGGCATGAAAGATGCAGGAGTGAGGGCTCATGGATTCTTCCTCTCTGGTTTCAGAGAGCCCCTTAGGCCAGGCAATGTGTGCCAGTGCTAGAGTGGCTGTGAGAATGTCCTGAGAAGCAAGGAGACCCTGGGAGGCCATTGAAAGAGTGTGAAGGTGAAGCCTGGCTGGCAGTGGAGATCCCAAGATGTTAGAGATGCCAGAGCCTGAGACATCTGCCAAGGATACTACATACAGGAGTAGAACCAGCCCAAGATACGTGTTACAGGCAGTAAAGCTGGAGGGGCAGAGCCGTCTGAGTCCTTTGAAACTGAAGTTTTGGGCATGGGATGTGGAGCTACAGGGTTTGGTATTAGCCCTTTCTGGGTTTTGGTCTT